CCCAGTTCCCTGGATTGAGAGAGGATCACTGGTGGTGGAGCAGGCCGGGTGAAGCCCAGCCTCTGGAACCAATGGTGTCCACCTGCTTGCTTAGTACTCCACAGTCTGCCAAGCCCAGCTGGGAGAGGGGAGGCTGATGTAGGCTCTCCTGACCTGCAGCCCTGCTCCAGTGCACCCAGAAGCCGTGAGGTTCCCTGGTTGGGGAGGGTCCCAAACAAGCTGGACTTGGGGGAAGTGCATAGGGCACTTATGCCAAGCCGCTGGGCCTCTGGAACTGGTGGGGCCCTCCTGCTTGCTTAGAACTCCACAGTTCACCAAGCACAGCTGGGAACGGGGAGGCTGATGCCAGTTCCCTGGACCTGCCAAGCTGCTCCAGTGCACCCAGAAAACGTGAGGATCCCAAACCAAGTTTTTTCATTTCTGAAAATACACAAGTCTAATTTTTATGTTTCCTTCCTTTTCCACATGGATGTATATACTTTCTAATGTATATAATATTTCAGTGTTTCCTCAATAAATTTTATGAATAAAATTTATATTCCTACATAGATCCCCTAATGTTTAATCACTGATATACCATTTTAACATTTAATTCATTGTCAGACACTTCTTCACAGTGTTTTTCAAAAATTATTTTCCATGTGTGTATTAAATGGAACTTAGCATATGCCATTCCTCACTTAAATTTTTTATTATGATAATTCCCTGGAATGGGATAACTAGATCAAGATGCATAAATCACAATGGATTGTACTATTATTTTTGATAACACATTTACCTTTTTTCCTCTTCCTGGGAATTGAACACAAAATCTCTGCACTGAGCCACATCACCAGCCTATTTTTATTTTTTATTTTGAGACATAATCTGGCTTAAATTGTTAAACCACCAAGGCTGGGCTTAAATTTGTCCTCCTGCCTCAGCCTCCCAGAGCTCTAGGATCATAGGCATGTATATCTCCATCTAGATTCCTTTACCTTTCTTTTAGAGATAGTAAAATACAAAAAAAAAACCTAATACAGAACAAAACCACTCAAGACAATGCAGCAAAACTGGTACAGAACTTCAGAGCAGGATACCAGGTAAACAATAACAGTTACCATAGTATATCTTGTTATCTTCACAACAGTTGCCCATTCCATTAGGCATAGCAAATGCAGACCAAAACAAAACACTACAAAACCAATCAAAACAGAATATTGAATACAGTGAAACAATCAGAACAAAACAAAATGATGAAAACAATATTGGACTTCAAAGACAAGATAGAAGGAAATCCCCCATATTTGATCTGTTGCATACTGTCATTCTCCTAAGAGATGCTTAGACCATTGGTCCCAGGTCAGCATAATCAACCAAACAATATAAGCATTTAGTTGTTTTATGTACCATAGTTGTTATCAACTCAGGCTGACCTCGAAACCATCCAGTTGCTAGTGGGGGAGGGGGATAGGAAATTTGATTCTCAGTCCAAAAACCAGGCTCACAAGAGATGCTGATTTTTCTCTCCTTGGCCTGTGATGGGCTTTCACTGCTTACCAGAAAGGCTGGGCTGGTTGTTTTCCTGATTGGACCCCAAGTCCCATCATGGTGGATTCTCCGACTCTTAGGAGATGCTGACTTTTCTCTCCTTGGAGCATGCATGGCTTGTGATGCTTAGTGGGAAGGCTAGCTGATTGCTTTGTTGATTGGTCCCCCAAGTCCCAGCATTGCAGATTCTCAGATTCTCAGGAGACACTGGTTTTTTTCCTCCCTGGTGTGGGCGTGGCTCATGCCACTTGCCAGGAAGGCTGGCTAGTTGTTTTTCTGACTGGTTCCCCAAGTCGCAGCATGGCAGATTCTTGGATTCTCAGGAGACTCTGACTTTTCTCTTCCTGGCACCTGTGTGGCTCACACCACTTACCAGGAAGGCTGGCTGGTTGCTTTCTTGGTTGGTCCTCTATGTCCCAGCATGGCAGATTCTTGGATTCTTGGATTCTTGGGAGACACTGACTTTTTTCTCCCTAGCACGCAAACTGTCTGATGGGTTCTTGGGAGATGCTGACTTTTCTCTCCAACTTTACCTTTTAAAACTGTACATATATTGGGGCACACTGGTAAATGTTGTGGATAATTTGGACCATTTTTGTGAACTTTGATTTATGGTGCCCTTGGGGACTATTGGAGTATGTGGATGGTTCACTAAGAAACCCTAACCTATTGGTGTAGACTTAAGGATTTATTTACACACTGTGGTTATTTGTCCTCTTCTGTTGCTTTCAAAAGTTTGGTTTACTGGTTTGATTTATTCCCTTGCTTTACATAAATACTTGTGGGTAGGTCCTCAGAGTACTAATGGCAATTCCATAATTGTTCTGCACAGCATAACATGCATTGGGCTTAACAGAAACAATGCCTTTGATACTTCAATCACCTTTACATCAGCACCCTACCTCAGTGCACTGTACTTCAGTACCCTCTACCCAATATCCTCTGCTTCAGTTCCATCTACCTCAAATCCTCTACCTTAATACCCCCAGCCACCTACTCTTTGCTTCAACATGGTCTTACTCAACACTATTTTCCTCAGCACCTTCTACTTCAATACCCTTTGAGTGGCAAGCAGCACTAATTGCCAGAGTTGAATCTGTAGGTGAAAAAGGTGTTACTCTAGCAATTTTTTCACTGTGGGATTTATACAAAAGTATTATGAGGCTATAGTTATATAATTTCATATCATTCTCTTTTATGTTTTTTTTTTTATTTTTCTCAAATGGTGCATCAGTGGACCTAAGTCTTGTCAGAACTTCAGTCTTTTAATTCATGATGGAATCAAATCCACTAGAAGTACGTAAGTGATGAAGGATGTCCCCAACTCCAGAGAGTTCAGATTTGGTTAACATAAAATATGTTGCTGAAACACATCTTAACAACTTTATTCATATTTGAAATGTTATTATTTGGTTCTCATATATCTTCTTTTCCTGAAAATGAAACCTAGCTACCGTCACTACTCTCTCACTTGATGGTTACTCTTACTTGATGGTTACTCTTACTCTTACTTGATGGTAAGTCAGGTAAAGCAAGGATAGGCTGAATGGAGCAGGATGTTTGATCTCTAATTTTCAAGACTGGTAATTTTCCATCTTACTTTTTGGGGAAACATGGTATATGAGACAGTTTAGAGGATGCTGCATGCAGCATAGCTCTCAAAATTCCTGGGGTGAAGGACAGCAGAGGATGAAGAAATGAAGATGAGTCAGAATGCAGAAAGCTTAGGTCAGATGGTGCCTCCTCTCTGGATGGGAGAAAAGGAACTGTTCAACAACTGTAGAATGTTTATTTGTGCCTGTTGTTAGTTGAAACCCCTCTGCCTAGCAATTTAATTGCCTAGCTGGCCTTGGGGCACCTTGCATACTCAGAGCTGGAATAGCTTGTTCATGTGACTCACCTTGGGCACTCCACACTTCTGATTCATCTCTAGCTTCAGCTGCTCCCCACAGAAAGACATAGATTTTTGTAGGTTGTGAATCATTTTGCTTTCTGAATATTAAAGGTAGTGCTTGCTTATTTCCTGGCATTCACTGTTACTATGCTGATCATCACTTTTATGTAGATAATCTCTCTCTTTTTTTAATGCCTGGAAGCTCAGAAGGTCTTTCTTCACTCTTGGGATTCTTAAAACTGTCCAGAGTTCTTTATTTATTGTACTGGGCACACAGAACATGTTTACCCTGAAGTCACCCATTTTTTTCACATTTCACAGTACAATTTAACTGTACTTTGGCATGATACTTTTAATCTCTAAGAGTTCTTTCTTTTCTCTGGTATTCCCCCTCCCCCCCATATCATCACATTGTCTTTTGTTATCTTGCTGTCTTCTTAGACTTAAAAAAAATCCTTCCCTATTCCTCGAGACACCTACTCTCTTTCTTATGTGTTTGTCTGGTATACTTTTCCCCTGCATCTCTGAGCTCTTCTTGGATCATTTCCTTCACAAGGACAAAAGATGATGAGGCTGTACACCTTACTGCTTCTGTTGCTTGAAATCCATCTGTTCCCCTAACACTTAAGGTGATGTGAATATTCTAGCTCATTCTACTCAGAGACATCACCTCTTCCCACTTCTTGTTACTGTCATCTACAAGTTTCATAGTCATTTCCCTATATATATATATATATATATATATATATATGGAAGACTACCTGCTACTTCATTTTAGCTCTCACTTGACAACTTCAGCATCTCATGGATGGTCCATATAGCCATCAGTTCTCTGGCTTCAGGCTACCTTATCTCTAGTATGGAGAACAAATAAATTCTCCAAAGTTTTCACTATTAATTTTTTTCTTGGTAGAACAATCTTAGAAAGTGTCTTTCTGCTCTTTATTAATAGTAAAACTTTTTTAAAAGTTAATTTTATTTTAGTAAATGCTTTTGACCTATGATAACAAGATGACCTTATGGTTGTTAATATTCCCCAAGGACCACTGCTGATGCAGTGAGTTACGTTAATTGATACCCTGTGTTGGTTAATCTTGATTTCCTACTTGGTTGGATTAAAAGACAACTGGATTGTGAAGTCACTAGACTCACTGGTGAATTCAGGGCTATTAAGTGGAGCCTAGTTAGAAGTAGTAGATAACTTGGGCCATGACTTTTAAGGTTATACCTTTTCTCAGTCTTTTTTCCTCTCATTTTGCTTCCTGGATGCTATGAAGTAAGCAGCTCTCTTCCATTATGTCCTTCTGCCATGTTGTTTCTGCCTTGGAATCAGCCAATCATAGGCTGAAACCTCTGAGACTGTAAGCCAAAGTACATCTTTCTTCTCTTTATTTATATCAAAAATTTTGTCCTAGCAATAGAAAACTAACATGTATCCTGATATCCAATGCCATAAGTTTGTGAAGCAATCATTCCTATCATTTTAGGACATGCAGTTAATAAGCCTCACTGTTTTATAAATTATTCCATATTTTTCTTCATTCTTCATGTCACCCTGGTCCACCCCCTGTGACAGGCACCTCCACTGAGAATATGTCTTCTGGGACCTCGTGGATCTGGCAAAACAGTATGTGGAAGACAGCTGGCAGAATATTTTGGCATTTTTCATATTCAGTTTGAAGAATTTCTTCAGGAAAAACTATTGCTCAAAACTGGAAAGAAATTTGGACCTGAATTTGTGGAAGAGTCTGAGGAAGAGCAAGCTGTAAAACAAGAACTTGAAGAATTAGCAACTCAGGCTAATATTAAACTTGAGGAAGAAAACACAAAGAAGCAGGTAATCCTATTACTCTCCTTGCAGATAATTATACTTGTTGGAGTTACTTTTGGGAATTAATATTAAACTCTATAAAGTTCCTAAGAAGGGTGAAAAAACTAGCCCATAAAAGTCATTCACAGAACTAGGGATGTGGCACAATAGTAAAGCTCTTGCCTGCATGTACAAGACTCTGGATTTGAGTGCTAGCACCATGAAAAATTTCATTTAAGAGTCACCATGCCCAAGATTAAATACAGATCTTACTGCTCTTCTAGAATATAAAATTCTGAGATTTACTTTGGACTCCAGTAGAAATAGAGAAGCTTGCCTATCACTACTAATTCCTCTTAGCTCCAGTAGATAGTACTTGCTATTTATAATCATATTGAATATTGATACAAATAGAAGTGCTCAAATTTTAGAATGTTGATACACAACAATGTGAAAAGTGAACTCATAGAGGGGGAAAAGATCTATCTTAGTCAGTAATGTAATGCACTATTTATTCATATGGTGATGTTTTGCTTCTGTTTTGTTACTGGTTTTTTTTGGTCTTTTGAGATAGTCTCACTGTGTTTCCCTGGCTGGTCCCCAATTCCTGCCTTAAGTCTCACCTCACTGTCCCATGTCAGCCTCCTGTGTGCTGAAACTACAATTGTGTATATCCCACACCTGGCTAGTGTTTTAGAACTTGTTTTATGTTCTGATTTTTGTCTTTAGCCTTCAGAAGTACAACTTACAGAAGAAGAAGAAACAACAAAATCAAGTCTAATAGATAATGAACCATTGCCTTCTGAAATTCTTGAAGTAATTCTTTCTGAATGGTGGCATAAAGAACCAATATGGTATCTTTGTTTATATAGAACTATATATTTATTGATTTTATATGTATAGTCTTAAATATAGAAATGTAGGGCAACATGCATTTAAGAATTGTCAGGCTGGGGATTTAGCTCAGCAGCATAGCAGGTGCCTGCCTGGCAAGCTTAAGGTCATGAGTTTGAGCCCCGGTACCAAAAAAAATTAATAATTGTCTCCTTTGCATTTATGTAACCTTGTGATTCACTTAAACTGCATATTAAATACATGAGACTAGGACCCAGGCATTAGTATGCTGGAAGAAAGGGAGAGAAGAAGGAAGGAATGAAACTTTAAATTAAAATGAAAAATGTAAATGAGTTCAGATGTAAAAGGAGAGATTTAGACTGGAACAAAGAAGTGGCAGCTGAACACTGGTAATAAAAGTCTACCTTCCGAAGGAGACTAGACTGAAGGTATCTCTGAAGAAGAGAACACACATATTATTATGGCAAGTATATAGAAATTTACCCACTTATAAGAAAGGAAAATTAGCAATTTAGAATTAACAACATTGAAGGCTGAAGCTGTCATGTTCATAAAACTCCTATTAAGAAGAAAATTTATTTAAATGTAAATAGTTAAACCAAATTTTAGTTAAGTAGGATAAACACTCACTCAAAAGGGGACCAATATAGACCCAATTAAGTAAAGGTAAGTCCTTAAAGCCTGATTGTTTTATAAGTATTCCCTAATGAAAATGTGTTAGCATTGTAGGTATTTTCATGATCCTTAAGTTTCATTATACTTGGCAAGTTTGACAACCTCATTTGAATATAATCATCTTACATACATCAAAGACCCAAACTATATATGTCAAGAATTGTTATTGGTTATAGGGAGATCCAGGGAGGAGGGCATGAATTTGTACAAAGAATCACTAGAAGAAAAACTACCAAAAGTGAGAAACCCACTAAGGGTGGCCAGCTAAGTGTGTTCTTCATGCAGAGCATGTAACCTTCACTCCAAGCAGAAAACTTATTTTCTTTTAAAATCTAGTCATTTAACAAGTTTTAGTAAGCTCCTCATTAATAGCAATTATCTGTAAATTGACTTCAATTTTATATATTTAAGCATAAACTATTAAAACTTTAATCTATTTTTATATATTTTTGTAAGAAAAATACTCTGTATATAGCTTTTTTACTAAAAAGAAGTAAAACACACTGCAGTAAACTTTTAATTCATTACACAGCTGATGTATTTATCAAAACATTTAAAAACTAATATAGAAATATAATAATATATAATATAGATGTACATGTCTATAGCATGATATTTTAAGCAAATAAAATAAGTTGTGAAAATTTCCATCCAGTTCCACAGGCTTTATCTTAGATGGTTTCCCACGGTTCCCAGAAGAGGCTCAGTTTCTGGGAGAGCACGGATTTTTCCCGGATGCTGCTGTTTTTATACAAGTTGATGATCAAGATGTTCTTGATCGTCTCCTTCCTTTCCAAATTGAAAAGTGGAAGCTGAAACAACAGAAGAAATCAGAAAGGAAAAAACTCATTAAAGCCCTGAAGGCAAAAATCAAGGTAGGTATCCTATACAAATACATGGGAATAAATCTGTTTAATATCTATTTAAATTATAAATAGTGTAGTTTTCTGATTTTAATACCACACTATGAAAATATTTTTCTTCAGTTATTGAATTCTTATAATGAACATTACTTGAAGCTTTTTATTAATCAGCATATGAACAGAATATGCCCAGGAGTCCCTCTGCCAAACCCTGCCAAACAGAGGAGGAGGAGGCAGCCTCCTCATGGCTGTCCTGAATAGTCTGGGTACCCTGAGCAGCCCAGCAGCTCCCAGGAGCCAGTTCAAAGCATGATGAGTAGCAGTAGCTCTGTCCTGCCTCACATCCTTCTTGGTTCACTACTGGCACTCTTAAGCATTTTTCCTGGCTTCCTCTCTGCATCTCTCAGGCCAGCCTTCCAAATAATTCCAGATTATTTTCCCAAAAATATGTTTTGACCAAGTCACCCCATTAGGGTCCTAACTTCCTAAGAGAGTTTCAAGTTCTCTTGCTCATTGTTTTTTTTCAATAGGAACAAATGTACACCCTGCTTCTGAGAAGCCGCCACACCACAAGCCTCCCTGTCCCTCACCCGGGAGTTTCTTTACCCTCCCAAGCACACTGTGCACTGTGACATGCAGTAAACCCTCTGAGTTTCTGCTAACTCATCTTTGGAGTGGAGTAATATTCACAACTTGAGTAGAATGAAAGCAGATAGATGATATTGTTCACCATGTCTGTCAACATCTCCACACTAAATTTGCTTTCCTCTTATGAATAATTGTATAAATTTTTTAGAAAATTATATTTAATAGTGAAAGATCACCAAACACTTTAAACAAATGTCCAAGTATATCTCTATTTTTCATGTCTGAAATCCACTGATGTGAAGTCCACAAATGCATAGTGAATTTTGAAAAGAAGTTCTGATATTTGTGGAAAGAGTGACTGACCCCAAGTGCTGTTTCAGGGGAAATAACTGGTCCAGAAGAATCAAAATGAAACAATATAAATACCACCAACATGCTCTCCTGGAAAGCTTCTCACCCTTGCATCCAAACATTATTTCTAGAAAAATAGATTAATATATAGAAAGTAATTTTTTGGCCAGGAATGGTAGCACATGCTTGAGTCCCAGCACTCAGGAGGCTGAGGGAGGAGGATCACTATGAGTTCAAGATAGCTTGGTCTACACGGTACATTCAAGACCATCCTGTACTTCATAGCAAGACCCTGTCTCAAAAAAAAACCTAAGCAACTTTTTATCATTTTTATGCAAATTTTAAATATTTCTTTAATAGGAGGATATGATTGCTAAAAGAAGAGCTGAACTTATTTTAGAGAGAGAAAGAAAAAAGAAAGAGATGGTAAGTAAATAAAATTGGTTAAGAAAAAGCAAAGCACTCATTTTTTGTGATCTCAATGGTGTAAAATCAGAAGATACATCTTAAAATCTTAAAGAAACGGCACAGATTTACATAGGATTAGTGAAATTACACATCATTTCTATTTTCTTTATTCTTTTTGACATACCACAGCTATTTACACTGTTTATTGTATTTATCATCAGAAAAAATCAACATTCCTTAAAGAAAAATTCCCACTTTTCATATTTAAATCATGTAATGGAAAATATAACATTACATAGAATGGAACTTTTTTGAGATTTTCATCTTTTATTTTCACATTTCCAGCCAGTGCTGCAGGGAGTAGACCAGACAGAGCCCCTAGAGTTTGAAGGAGATAGACCATTGACTGTCTTAGGACAAGGCCTGGAGTAGGGGAGAGCCTGCAGAGCCTCATATAGACACCTATATAGGATGCTCAGTATAGCTTCATTTATCTACCTGCTATTGTCTTTTAGAGATGAACCTTGAAGATTATTGGCTTCTGTTTATGGAGAGAACAGATATTTCAAATATAAGGGAAAAGTGGTTGAGGACTAACTGGTTTCAAAATTCTCCAAAGAAGATCCAGAATTGAGTATCCATATCCTATAGCTAAGCCTCCTTTGGAGAGAAGAGTACTTGGGTTTCCATCCTCCTCCTGCACCTCTACAAGCCCAAACCCAAGCTCCAGGTGTCTGTTAAAGGAACAAAGGTCTGATCATCTGGTAATATTAGGAAAGAGAACATGAAAAGGCCAACAATGGCAAGGAGCTGGAAAAGAGAGAATGTAGAACATTATTTAGGATTGGAGCCCTTTGATAGGTGGACAAGGAGAGATAGAAAGTGAGATGCCAAGATAACTAAAAATTCAAGGTAACTTCCAAGTTTCTGACCATAGGGCAAGCTCCAGTTGAGACAAAGAATACTATAGAGAGAATAGTGTTGATGCAGGGCAGGAGGAAACAAACAATAAACTTCATTTTTTGTGTGTGCAAAAGGAACAATAGCAGTTAGTCTATGCATATGACTTATTATCAAATTCTTGCCATGTTTTTAATAATCATTCATGAAATAATCTTGTTTCTTGGGACTTCCTGGAAGGTGGTGGAACAGTAAGCAGCAGAGTAAATAGCCTCTCTGAGAGACACAGTCCAGACACAGGAATATAGCATCATGGGAAAGATAAGAAGGAAGCAAGTGGGTCCTTCTGGACTCAGGAAGAATCTAAAGTGAGAATTGAAGCCCACAGAAGGAGTAAAAAGAAAAACTTAAATGAGAGAAGGCAGTATCTGGTAGCACCTTTACCCAGAGCTGGACACACTGCAGAGGAGCTGTTGGAATCTTGGGATGAAAAGTCATGGTGACTATGGTGGTTGGTGGCCCCAGAGCCCTCTGTGAAGAGACAGGGTGGTGGAGGGGAGCAGCAGACACAGAGGACTATGGTGGAGGCTCCCTGCCAGTGACCAGCTAGGAGGCAGCAGCCAGCCCTGCCCCCATGCACACTCCACCAGCCACTGGGGAACCAGCACAGGCTGGCTCTATACTGTGCACCAGTGACCAGCATCAGATACCTGTAGCCAGCACTGGCTAGAAGAACCAAACAATCTCACTTCAGAGAAATTGTAGCCAATGCAGGAAGTGCCGGGAGCCCCACTATCCACCTGTCTGGAAGAACCCATGAATATGTCAAGATGAAAAAGCAAAAGGCACACTCTGGCCTCTAACCCAAACAGAGCAAGTCCAGGAGATATAAACATGGAAGAGACTGGAAGTCACACACCTGAATTTTCTGAAGTGATGGCAACTTAAGTAAAGAAACAATTTCAGGAATCTATAAAAGAAATTAGAACAGAGATGCTATCTCAGGTAAAAGAAGAAATGAAAAATGTAATAAAAGAATTGCTAAGCATCTCTAAGAAGACATAAATTAAAAATAGAGGAGCACAGGAAAATGAGGGAAATCTTGAATGAGTAAGATAAACAAGATTTATACTGCATGAAATAGATTCAAAGAGATCCAGGAAATTAAAAACTCCATTGAAAGCTGAGAAAACCACTTTCAAACCTTGTGATCCTGAAAGGAAAGATCTCTTAAAAATAACAAGGAACCAGGAAGTAACTAGTCAATGACTGCAAGACAACCCAAAGAAATGTAACTTAAGAATAATAGGTGTCAGTGAAAAAGGAGAGGTCAACACAAATGACATTAAAAGTCTATTTACAGAAATAAAGAAAATTCCAAGCATAGGAAAAGGAAATAATATTCAGATATACAAGGCATGCAGAACTCTACCCAGCTATAACCAAAATAGATCTATACTGAGACATATAATAATCAAGATACCAGAAATTTAACACAAGAACAGAATATTAAAATCCATCAGAGAAAAGAAACAGATCACCTATAAAGGAAAACCCATCAAAATCACAGCAGACTTCTCAACACAAACCATCAAATCAAGAAGAGCTTGGACTGAACTATTCCAAGCCAGGAAAGAAAATAACCTCCAACTCAGACTGATATAATTGCAAAACTGTCTCTCAAAATTAATGGAGAAACAAGATACTCCCATGACAAAAAGGAGCAGGGGGAGTTCTTGACCACCAATTCAATCATACAAAAATATTGAAGGACATTCTAGAGAAAGAGGAAAAAGGACCATGGCTTCAGGAACAGTGGAAGAAGGGTCTCACTGAATGGGGCAGGCATTGGAATGAAGGGGAAAAGTAAACAACCAATGACAGAAAAATAGCATGGAAGAGATGAGGCAGAGAAGGTGGGCCAACATTGCTAAACATGGATCACCTCAATACACTAATAAAAAGAAAAGCAGGAGAGTGGATCAGAAGATAGGGTCCATTAAGATGCTCTATATAAGAAATATAGTTAACCTGAAAGAGGGTTTATGGACTGAAAGTCAAAGATGAGAAAATAATTTTCTAGGTGACAGGGAACGAGGAAAAAGTGGGGTAGCGCGCCCTTCAGCTGCAGATTGGTTGGAAAGACATAACACTTATACAATGGAGAATTACTTAGCTATAAGGAAGGAAAACCTTGAGGCTCTTGTAGGTAAATGGATACAACTTGAGATCAAGCTCAGGGATAAAAAGGTTCAGAACTACTTAGGTAAATAGCAGGTTGCCTCCCTAATCTAAAAACTAAAGGAGTTAGTGGATACAAAATGTACAATGTACTCTGTGAAAGTGAAAGGGGAGGAATTGTCTAAAAAGGGAAGGCAGAAGACTTTGTTAATCTTGTATCATAACTTGAAACCCATCTTGTTTTCATCACTGCTTAGTTTGGTTATATTCTGTTCCAGTTTGTCTACTTGTGCTAACTTTGAGGGCATGGACAGCTATTCCAAAGATAGCAGGATATACTATGGTAACCATTTTTAATTTCCTATTAATTTAATCTGAAGTCCATATTGCTTTCACTGTGTTGTTTTGACTGATTTTATTTGAATCTGTTTTTTAGATTTCTGTCTTTTATCTTGACTGATTTTATTCAAACCTGTTATGTTTGATAGTATCAAGTCTGAGAGTATAGGCAACTACTGTGAAGACAAGAAGATTCACAATGATACCCTTTCTGGTTTGACTATTACCCTCTTTTGAAGCCCTATAATGTCTTCAATGTTTCGTTTTTATTGATTTTGCTCTGTACTGCTATGTTTAATTTTATTGTGCCTGATGATATGGGCAATTCTATTGAAGATAACAAGAGACATCATGGTAACCACTGTAGATCACCTTGTATTGTGGTTCTAAAGTCATGTACTATGTCCAACCTTTTGTTTTGAATGACCCCATTTTGTTTTTTTATCATTTGGTTTTAGTCTTTAAAAAAAACTAAAGGAGTTAGTGGAATCCAAAATGCACAATACATATTGTGAAAATCAAAGGGAAGGTGGTATCTAAAAAGGGAAGGCAGTGGCCATTGTTAATCTACTACCATAATTTGAAACCCATATTGTTTTTATTGTTCTGTTTAGTTTGGTTTTATTCTGTTTCAGTTTGTCTAATTTTGTTATATTTGATGGCCTGGACAACTATTTCAAAGATAACAAAACATTATGGTAGCCATTATTGATTTCCTATTATGTTGTTTTGAAGCCCTGTATTGCTTTCATTGTTTTGTTTACATTCATTTTATTCCATTTTGTTTTGTTTGACTATATTCTATCTGATGGCATAGGCAACTACTTTGAAGACAACAAGCGGCATAGTGATAGACACTGTTGTTTTACCATTATCTTTCTTTGAAGTCTTGTGTTGCTTCCATTGTTTTGTTTTTATTGGTTTTATTCTGTACTATTTTGTTTCATTTTTATTATGCCTGATGGTATGGGAAGTTATTTTGAAGATAACAGTAGGCATTATGATAGCCATTATTGATTTCCTTTTATTTTGTCTTGAAGTCATGTACCATGTTAATTATTTTGTTTTGATTGACTCTATTCTGTTTTATTTTGCTTGGCTTTATTATCTTCAAAAAAGAAAAGAAAAGAAAAAAAGAATTTTGTTTCTCTGATGGGTTATAGTCTCCTAAAAGATTAGGGCAGTGACATTATCAGTACAGTGCTTTATACCAAGTGACTGTAGTAGCATAATCATGTACTACAGACTTTTCTAGCAGTTTTCTGTGTGTGAGTATATGTGTGTGTGTGTCTTTTCTGGTACTGTGGATTGAATCCAAGTGCACTCTGCTACTGAGATGCATCCACAGACCTTTTTTACTTCATATTTTGAGATGAGAATCTCACTAAGTCACAAAATTACCCAGGATGGGCTTGAATTTGCAGTCCTCTTGCCTCAGTCTTCCAAGGTCTGGGACTGCAGGCACATGCCATTGTAACTGGCTTGGGTTTATAATTTATTAAATCAATTAATGCTTCCCCAAACCTTGTAAGTTGTCTTGCTTTTGTTACTCCTATTTTACAGATAAAGGAACTTCTCTTACTCTAATTAATATAGCTAATATATTTTCTACAGTCTTTATGCTGCGTTAAGTATTATTTCAGAAGATCATCAAAAATATGTAACATTCTGACAACTATAGACATTTAATAGCAGTTAATACCTTGTCCATTTACTTATGGGGTTGGTATGGTGTCAGAAGCTTGAAAGTCATAAATTTCTGAATGCTAGATACTTAAAATTTTACTGTGTTACCAAATGACTGTTATTGTAGGGTACCAACTAATACCAAGTTATTTCAAAATATTCTTGATGATTTGCTAACAATGTCATTTGGTATATATTCTGTATATATAGTGAAAGGGAATGCTTTCTTCCTTAGGTTGGTGTTAGAGAAGATGATGAAATTAGTGAGGAAGAGCCTGATGAGGATGATGATGATATTGAGAATATCCTTGAAGTGTTTACAAAAGATGAAGAAGAGATGAGTGAGGAAGATGAGCAAGAAATTGATGCAGTTGAGCACCTGAGAAGTGAACTGGGAGAAAAATTTGACACAGATATGACTAATTTACAAATGATACAGGTTATGATTTATCCTTCATTTTCCATAATTCAAAATATAACATTTGAGCATAAAACCAAAGCAATTTGGATGATGCCTATTTCAAGATTATATTTCAAACAATTCTATAAATCAGGGACAGAGTATGGTTAGCTGCCAGCACTTAGCCACTAGTGAGATGAGAATCTCACTAAGTCACCAAATTACCTAGGATGGGCTTGAATTTGCAGTCCTCTTGCCTCAGTCTTCCAAGGTCTGGGACTGCAGACCCAGAAACAGTCTTATTTTTTACACTGAAGTAATCATCAGAAGTTCTGTGTAGTGTGATTGACCTTTTTCCCACCAAATATATTAGGTTTTATGATTTCTTTCATTAGGAAGAATTTGAGAAGTTTTTGATACCAATATTTTCTGTTAATGGAGCTCGAAAAATCCATATTGTACAATATACATTGACTATGAAACTGAAGCCACTGGTGGAAAATCGTGCAAGCATTTTTGAAACATGTAATGCAATATCAGCACACCTTGCCCAGAAAATGGTTGCCTTGACCTACAAATATATAAGCTCATTTGGCTATTGGGACCCTGTAAAGGTAATGTCAGCAAATGTATCTGAATGCCATCTTCTTTCTATATTCCTTTAAAAAATAAAGCTTTATCTGGGAAGAACACTGAATAATTCAAAAAATTGTAAGCCTTCTATTGTATGCTTAAATAAATATAAAAATATTTGGGAATTTCAAGTGGAATCATTCAACTTTCAACTTTTTCTCTTGTTACCAAGTATATAATGTGAAGCAGACACATCACTGCTCTTTGAGTTTCTTCTTAACCCTAGCATATGTGACTGCCTATTAACTTCCCTCCAATTTAAGAATAATGATACTAACAAATTATTCACTAATAGCAACTGTAAAGGGGACAGATGTCAAGGAGAATCAATATGAACAATACTATGTTACACCTATTCTTTTGAGTATAGGGTTATCTGATGCTTGGCCATTTGATGCTATAAAAAGATTCAAACTGAAACATGAATAGTTTAACTTAACATATTGAAGGTGAATTAGTGGTCCCTTATGCACCAAAGTGAAGATTTAGGACCATTGTTTTCTCTTATTCCATTCACAAGCTTAAGCTGCCCTTTGTAGGCATTTTCCCCTGTTGTTACTACTGTTAGTATTTATGTGAGTAGGAGCTGATCTGTACAAACTATAGAAGAGAATCCAGGATAATTTGCCTATCAGGATCCTGCAAAAGACATCTCAAGAACTCATTTGTAGCAGTCTTCTCTGATTACTTTAACAAAGTATGAGAGGCATGAAAATTTAAACAATAAGAATTTATTTGTTGTCATATCTGGAGGCTAGGAGACCAAGATCAGGTGTTAGCAGGAGTAGGTTCCATGAAACTTCCGTCTTTGCCTTGGACTAGCCACCTTCTTATAACATGCATGCATGGAGATTTTTCTAGGTATGCCTCTAGTGTCTCTTCTTCTTAAAAAAACATAGGCTTATGGGATTAGCACTTGATCTGCGTGACCTCGTTTAATTGTAGTTACTTCATTCAAAGCTATATTTCTAAATAAAGTCACTTTGAGAATTAGGACTTGAACATATGAATTGTAGGGGAGAGGAGACAATTCAGCCCCTAACAGTACCTTAGGAAAGGATCTGTTTGTGGGGATAAATTAGCCTGTGAAAACATGCCACAACCTATACTCTTTGATATGTACATTCAATATAGAGAAAGGACATTAATTGTTATAAACAAAACAATTTATGTATTGCTATGAAATATTAACTAATATTAATATTTAATTATAATTTTATCTTTCTGTAATTGGTATTTATCATTTTACAGATTTTCAATGTATTTGGAGGAAATGTACTATGTGTAAATTAAAACTAACTTACAGATTCAATTGTGTTGCAGCTAAGTGAAGGAGAAACATTTCAGCCAATTGGGAATACAGAGAATCCAATTTATCCTGTAATCCACCGCCAGTATATTTATTTTTTATCTAGTAAGGAAACTAAAGAAAAATTCATGAAGAACCCCATAAAATATATCCGCCAACCCAAACCTAAGCCTACTATGCCTGTTAGGATTATAATTGTGGGGCCTCCAAAATCTGGGAAAACTACAGGTGAGTATTTTTGTTTTCTTCCAGCATGCAAAGATCCACTGAACACCAGTGCCACCTCCTTCAGAAATCAGATATCAAAATTAACTCAAAAAGAGATGGAAAACCTAAGTAGACCAATAACCATCAAAGAAACATGTAACCATCTTTTAATTGCTGTAACAAATACCTGAGATATGAACTTATAAGGAAAAAAAGGTCTATTGCACAATTTGGTGATATCAGTTTATGGTTAGTGAGGCAGCACATTGTGATGAGTAGCAAACCACAGAGAAAAGCTGCTGCCTTCCTTCATGGCTGGGCCAAGAGAAAGGAGAGAGAGAGAGAGAGAGAGAGAGAGACAGAGAGAGAGAGAGAGAGAGAGAGAGAGAGAGACAGAGAGAGAGACAGAGAGACAGAGAGACAGAGAGAGACAGAGAGACAGAGAGAGAGACAGAGATGAGTAGAGGCAGAGAGACAGAGACAGACAGAATAAGAAACAAAAGCAAAAGCAGGCAAACAAGCAGGTCTTACAACCTACTTCAGCAGTACTGCCTTGAAGTAGAACTCTCCATAGACTGCTTCTTAACAATGCCAACCTTTATAGAGCACCACAATCTGAAGCCAAGCCTGTAACACAAGTCCCATGGCATTCTAGAACCAAGCAATGGTAGGAAGACAAGAATAAGAAATATGGCCTTATTCAGAACAGCCCAGGATCAGATAGGCTTAAAGAAAAGATACCAATTCTTCATTCAGACAATTAAAAGTCAAAGAACAAATTTACATAGTTTAAAAAACTTTTTCATAAACAAAAGGCAATAAGCTTTCCAATGTATTTTTATTTTCTTTTTTATTGAAGAATACAGTGCATATAATCAAAAAAAGGATATAAAATCAATTTTAAATCTACTGCTCTGATATCAAAACAGAAAAAATATATTTGAGAAGAAGTTAAAATTATTATCATTTATAAATATAGTAAAATATCCTAAATAACATAATATAAAATTTACCATGAACAGTATATTAAAAGATTATATTAGGTTAAAATGTATTAAAATGGTGTATAAATGTATACTCATTAATATAGTGATATACTCAGTGACATTTCTGTCAATGACAGACCATGTACACAGCGGTGGTTATTCTAGAGAATCATATTATCTAATTGAATCATAGCCATCCTATTCTGTGCAAGTGCACTCTATGATATTTGCAAAATGACAGCAGTGCTTAGTGATGGATTTCTCAGAACATACACTACTGTTGAAAGGTATATGACTTCAGTTGAAGAAGTACAAATCAGCTGAATGTGGTGGAATACATTTGTAATCCCAGTGTCTCAAGAGACTGACACAGAAGGATTACAAGTTTGGGACCATCCTAGGCAACTTAGTGAAACCCTGCCTTAAAAATAAAGAAAAAAATGTGGAGTGTTAATCAGTAGTAAAGCACTTCACTAGCATGCACAAGTTCCTGGATTCAATCCTCAGTACTAGTAAAAAATGTTAAAGCACAAATTAGTAATCTTAATCATTTTTGAAAAGACATTTGATAAACTTTACTCCTGTAATGTTTACATTTTGTATATCTTGAACTGTAGTTTTTGTTGTTAAGACAATTTGCCCAAAAATTGGCGGTAGTATTTCAAGATGACAGTAGGAAAACATGAACAGTGGTTTGTCACATCAAAAATAAAGTAAAAAGAAGAGATACAGGCTATATTTCAGAGAAAAATAATAGACTTTAATGACTACATAGAGACTAAAGGAGAAAGACAGAGTCAAAGATTAATTTTTTTCTCACAAATAATAAAGGGTAGTTTTGTATCCCACTCTTCAGATGAAAAATCTGAGAACTTGAATCTTTTAATATAAGAATCATTTTCATGTTGAGAGACGATATTTCTACACAACTCTACAACATTGATAACAAAGAAGTTGTAGACACAATCTGATTTCTCATTTCTTAGTTGAAAATATAAAGTTACAGAAGAAAAATTATCTATAAATTATTGCTACAGTATTAGGTATGCCATTATGATTTTAAAAATTGTTTTCTAAATGATTAATCATATAGGGTATACATCCTGACTGTAATGTGGAATCCATAAAGACAGGTAGGTGTGGTATCCAGTGAAACAGATTATTTCATTGTTATTTTTCATATAGTGCCAAATACACGACACACATATTTGAGAGAACATGTTATATTATTGCAACACTGTAAAAAATTTTGCCACCTTGTGTTAGGAAAGGCAGTTTAACATTGGTTTAGTTATTAAAACACACACACACACACACACACACACACACACACACACACACACACCCCAACCATAAATCCAAAGAAGTAATAAGTGATCTTTGACAACGATTAAGTAAAATGTGGCAATTTTATTTGTAAAATTTCTTCGAAAGTTATGGAGATTAGCTTGCTGTTGATGTATTAACCAGAATCTAAAAGTAAGATTTACTGATGAAAATGTGAAATTAAAACAAATTTAATGTTTTATGTGTTGTAGTTGCTAAAAAGCTTGCAAGTGAATATGGCTTAAAACATTTGTCAGTAGGCGAAGCTTTGAGAACCGTACTGAGCCACCACCCAGAAACACAGCTAGCACTCATGTTGAACTGGCATCTTTATAAGGGAATGACAGTGCCAGATGAGCTAAGTGTTCAAGCCTTGGACCTTTCTCTGATGGACAGTGCATGTAATACTGCAGGGTAAGTGAATGGGGTGAGGGAGATGCATTTTTCAAGAAATGGCTCAGTAGAAATCTAAGATACTTACATTAAACAGGGTTTAAGGCTCTCGTGAAAGGTAAAACTGCTTCTCAAACACTGAGGAGGTTTGGTCTGAGACACAGAATGCCTTGTCCGTGCTCTCTAGTGAAGTCTCTATGTTCCAGTTGAAGTCTCAATGTGGGGATAGGGATGTGGGTAAATAGCTACAGAATGTGAGCCACGTGTGTATAGATACTTACTTTAATTTTTTGCCATTGTGAAACTTGGTTTGAATACCCAAAGCCGCATTAACAGGCAGGCCATGCTTGCAGTGACTGGCTATAGCTCCAGATGTTCCTGGAGGGGGGGAAGGATGGTGAAAAAATAAAGAAGAGACAAAAGCTGGGATCAGGTAGAGCCCTTACTCTCCTGATGGGAAAGAAGAAACTGCTCAACCATTGTGGCATGTTTATTTATACACTCGAAAGAAGAACATCAATTTCAGCCCTACTGCATAGCAACCTGTTGCCTGGCTGGCCTGGGCCCCTTGCCTTCTTGGTGCTGGAACAGCTTGTGTACATGATTTGTTTTGGGCTCTCTGTGTTTTCAGGGCTGGCCTTGCTTTAGCCCACACATGTGATCAATCTCCAGGTTTAACAGCTCCCTACGTATCCCTCTTTTTTGTTTCATTGTAGCACAGGATGGATTGTTGGTTGAAGCTGGAGGAGCTGTGTTTGAAGAACTCTGTGGAAGACCTTTTCCTTCTTGAACTTTTTTCATTTTAAGTGAAGTTCAAGGATTTTAAGTCCCTGAATTCCACAATTGAAACCCTGTGCAGCCCATTAATCCATAACGTAGTTGGCAAATATCAGAAGGTGTTAGTGATTTGCATTTGTTTTATAGCTAACATTTGCTATGGCATTGTATTATACATTGTGTGGTTACACTTTTCTGTTGGATGCCAAAGACCAATTTAAAGTAAGACCTTTATTAATTACACTTAATCTCTTGCTATTTATCAAAGTCAGTTAAGTCTCGTCAGGAATTGGAACCATGCATAGCACCTCTTAGCTCTTCTGTCAGTATCAGCCATCTGGATGAGTCATGGCCATTGCTTGACCAAGTTTCTTTTTGTGAAAGTTTGGGAGACCCTTTCTCCTCGTGACTTTACTTAGGCATATCACACATTGATGATTACGCTCCTCTATGATCTCATAAAATTCTTGATCAGAAGATCAGGGATTTACTGAGTATAGGATGATGCAGCAGAGGTTCTCTTTTATGTCTTGGGTCCTCATTGACCTCAGAGGACTAGGGCAAAAGTATTGGCTATCCCTTTAGCCTATCTTTTTAGTTTTGGTCTCCAACCCTCAGTTGTTGAGCGTTCAGAAGAAATGATTGATAACAGTACAGTATTAGAAGCAGTAAGCTTAATATTACTATCTTATCTAAATATCAAGCATCTTAGAGTATTAAACGAAACCATTGTTTCCTATTAACCATGGTTATTTTAACATTTGAATCCCTATAGAATGTTAACAAAGCTACATATTTTACACAGAAAATTAGAAATCAAAACCATACCAAGTATGACAATCATGTTGGCATTTTGTAATACACTTGAATTTGCATTTTGACATAAGATACTCACTTTTTGGTCAGTCATTCGTATCTAATACATAAGAAACTTTTAACTTGATTACTTTTGTGGGATATACATCTCATAAACATTTGTTGAAGGCAGAGGTCTGAATCTGAATCAAAATTCTGTCACCATAAACAATCCCTGTTTTAAAAACCTGTAATATGCCATGATGTAAATACACTATGAGGTTCATAAATGCTGTGAGGTAAATACACCATGGGGTTCATAACAATCATTTTTGATAGCCATATAAAATCTTTGTATGGGCATCTTTAAATCAAAAACCTCATTGCATTATTTCTTTTGACAATGAGAGTGTGAGCATATTACAATTTTTTTTATAACTTTAGTAGCAGTGTCTCCCATAAGGCTATGGAGATCACTGAAGGCTAACATCAGTGAACAAAAACTGGTTAAATGTTACCAAGCAGCTGCTTTCTTATTCATCAATTGGAGTCCTTTTCAATAATAGTAAGCCAAATAAATTTTTGTTTAATTATCTTAATAATGTTTTGATGACTTATGAAAAACCAATCACAATATTTAATATATTAGTTTTGAATAATGAGAGACTCTCAAGTTAATAATAAACAGAAATATACATTATATTTACACAATCAATTTCAGCAACATTTTGACTAGCTGGCAACACAGATGGAAGCATGCTTTTTAAATCTATAACCCAAATAAACCTTGGTTAAATGTTCCAAAAAAAAAAAAAGAAAAAATTGTTGAGCTCAAATAGAAAAGAACAGCTGTTTACAGAATGGACAAATGGACAAACATGAACAGACAATTTGTACAGATTTGAACAGACATAGATACAAGTACACAGCTTTTTGGTGTCCACAAGAGCTCTCCAAGTTCCTAGGGGCTGTTTTACACCTCTTTGCTGAACTAGCTCACTTCTTACACCCAAACATTCTTGGAGCTAGCGAACTAGTTCACCTCCAGAACTCCATGCCCTCAGGGCATTTTTTTAGGTGCTCTATGCCCCTGGGCACTCCTGTATGGGAACTTGTGCTTTCATCTCTGTATGTGTGAACTATCATTAGCTCAGTGTCTTGGTTACTTTTCTCGCATTGCTGGGATGAAACACCCAACACCCAAAATGAAGGAATGAAAGTTTTATTTAGCCTATAGTTTCTGGAGGTTTTTAGTCCACAATCAGCTGGCTCCAAAGCAGGGAGGTGTGGCACTGGGGCAACACTTCAAGGCAGGAGATAGCAAGCCAGAGCAAAAGGAGGAAACAAGGCTCTTCTCCTCCCTTATACTGTGCACAGGCCACACACCCCCTCCAGGGTGAATATAGTACTCACAAAATCTCTGTGCCCTCCTCTTGCACAGGATGAGGATATTTGCAAATTAAGGATCCTGTCTCTCTGCTGAGTCTCTCAGTTAAACTTCTAAAATTGACACAATGTATCAACCATAACACTCAGTGACTCCCAAGAACAACTTAACAGACTAGACAAACAGACAAATAGATATACAGGCAGACTGACAAACATCTTACATAATCAGAGTACACTCAAGTGTATTTTAGCCAAATTGAATTACACTAACTTTTCATAGTTGTAGAACTTGTAACTATAAATAGACTAGTCAGATTTGTTGTAGATCAATTAGCAGAGACCTCATGTAACAGGATTTGGAAAAGAAAAAAATCTTATTATAATCAACATACATCTTTGTATTTTATCTTAAGAATATTAGTAACTTTTTGTGTCATCTATTTAGACCTTTGCTTTTTTTTGTTACTATCTCCTGGGCATCCTGCATCAACTCCTTTAATTGGCTCTAGGTCTGGTCTAATCTCATCCTTGTCTATTAGTTGTGATGTGGTTTCTGAGACATCACTATCCTAGGCCTGATAATCAGCTTCTTGAGAGGTGGAATCAACTCCTTCTCTGGGTTTGGGTCCATGATACAGCTGGGCAACATGTTTTGGTATCCAGATAGACCATTCAGCATTCTTTGGAAAGACACAACCCAAATTAGCACTGAGCTTCCATTGTCTAGTATGGAAATCTTTCTGAAGGACTCTTCCTAGCTTGTTTCTTTTACTTGATTGAATTGAGATGCTGTTGCTGCTGCTACTGCTGTAGTTCCATCCTTAGCAAAATTTAAAACTTAAACAGTATATATTTCCTGATGAAGTCAAGGTAAAATTCTCCCTTTTTTGAAGGGGAGGTCAGGTGGAGCCCTGATGGGAGAGAAGGAACTGCTTAACCACTATAGCATTTTATTTATACATTTCAAAGAAGAACATCAATTTCAACCCCACTGACTATCAACTTGTTTGCCTGGCTGGCCTTGCTTTAGCCCATCCATGTGATCATTCTCCAGCTTCAATAGCTCCCTACACATGCTACTCACTGTAGCAACATGACTTGTGTGAGAACCTCTAAGCCAGTGGTGGTTAACCTATGACACACATGCCACAGTGGGCATGCAGAGCCCTTTCTGTTGCCATGTGAGTCAAGTTACACCAGCAGTTGAGCATCAGAAAGCAGTTTTTTTCTAAAATTAACACTTCAATATTTAGGTTTAGTTACAGTGTTTGAATTTTGCAATAAATAATTGGGTTTTAGATTGCTGTTTGGGAACTCAGTCTCAAAAATGTTCATCACTGGGGCTGGGGATTTAGCTCAGCGGCATAAGCACCTGCCTTTCAAGCAGGCGGTCGTGAGTTCGATTGCCGGTACCGATAAAAATGAAAAAGACAAAAAAAAAAAAAGATAAAAAAAATGTTCATCACTGCTCTAACCTTTTGCAAAGAGGCACTATAAGTTCCATACCCCATAGCACTTCACCCTGACCAATGGAATTTTGGAAGAGTGACCCTCTCTGCTCACCAGACAGTGTTGGTACCAGGAATATGATCATTCTGGCCCAGATCCCCACACAGGTAGCAGAGACCCTCCTTTAATGCCACAGCTGCTTATATTGCCGCTATAGATTATCCTCCTCTGCTAGATGTTGCCCCAGAGAAGGCCTTTTGGCATAAGAGGATGAATCCATATTGAGTTACCTGCTCTGTGCTGTTAACTTTGTATAGCAGGGACTTCAGTAGAGAGCTTAGTGAGCAGACTGTGTGACCTGGTTGACTCACAAAGGCTTTATTTCACTTTAATTCCAGAATAATGGCTTCTAACCCACCCTGAATTTCCCTAGTGCTGAGAGCCATATAAATGACCCTTTATGGGACAATATTGTTAAGCTACTAAGAATAAAATGAAAACAATGGCAGCTCCATCCATTCTCCTTGGCAGTAATCTAGTAGTATTCAATTGTAGCCCTCTCTGCCATGAGACTGTGCTGGGGGTGTCTACTATGGCTTACATCCTGCTGC